CCTCCCCTGTCTCAGTTTAAAACCATTCCCCCTTGTCCTATCACTGTCCACCCTCTTAGTCATTCCCCAAATATAAGCCCATGGGGTTGAAGACATAGAAGAGTGTTATTGATGAAGTGAGCCCTCTTGAGAGCAAAAGGTTATTTCAAATCTGCAGTGAATTTAATGGTAACTTTATTTCTTTTTGAGTGTTGAGCTTTTTCCCTATAAGTGGTCTTTGAAGTAAAAGTTGCAGTAATGGTGCAAAACTTGTCATTTTCATCAATACAGTTTCTAGATGTGTGTATATATGTATGAGCATGAATGCTTTTTTTAGAAGCCAAATTATCTTTGTTTCATTATGTCAGAAAATCCAAATTTATGGCAAGTCCTGCATGGTTACAGTCTGAGAAATGTCCTCTTCATCTGCCCTTTATTCCCAGTGAAAAAAACCCTTATTTTTCTGAACAGAACAGTAATGTTGTCACAACAGTGGGCCATTTTTCTTTCTATACAGACATTCTTTATTCCTTCTGATATTTCAGGATTTGTATTGTTTCCCTTTGGCTTTTCAGACTGTACACCCTCTCTCTTTCCCTATACCTTCTGCATTAAGCGTGTTTTTTATTCCCACTACTTCAATTTCTTTACTTCACAATATACTGAAGAATCTGGCTTTGGTAATTTTCTCTCCCCAAACCAGGAATGACTTCTTACTGGCTACCTGACAAGGGTGAAAATTTTCAAAGCAACTTAATCTTCTAAATTAAATCTGCTTATTTTAAAGCCTTTTGTCTGTCTTCATTCTTCTTGATTTGTCTGCTGCTTTGTCAGCATGTGAACCATTAGCACTGTACTTCCCCCAAGATTTAAGAATTTTTTTTATTATTTTGTTCCTCCTGTGATCTTCCAGTGGTTTCTGTGGTACTTCCTTTGCCATTGTATTATACAAATTCTTCTTTTCTCTGATTATAATATATATATATATAAAATATTAAAAATATTATAGGAATGATCTATAAATAATAATATTTGGGGCAGTGAATATTAATCATGAAAAAAGTGGTATATGTAATAGAAGCAAGGATACAAGATAACAGGAGTATGAATACGGCTGCATGCAATAAAATGAGATTACCAAGTTTACATGGTCACAAATTAACTTTAAAAACAATTATAACCATTTTAATTTTGATTATGCCTGCATGCAGGTTTAACTGTCTTTAATTCTGTGGAATAAATGCACTCCAAACATCCTACTGAGGTTAATTTATCATAGCGTTCCATGAGCATTTATAAGAATGTCTTCTGTATAAATGCAAGTAAGATGATCTATGAAATCATTCTGAGTTTAGGACAAGTAAGATACTGAGTCATTGTAAAGCACATAAAACTACTGAATCAGAGTGCTATAACAGCAGTAGCAGTTGTTCAAGGAGTTTAAGAAGCAGGACATATACAGTAATTCTTCCTTTTTCATAATTTCATAATACTTAGTAATTTTTGGACTTTATAGACTTCCTAAGTTGAAGGACTGGAGATGTTGTGTTTTACAGTACATGGCACATCTGTTCTTGATGAAATTGTTAGATACCTTTTTAGACATTAATACCTCAGTCTCCTACACAGCCTTTGGAAATACTTTCCAAGTCTTAGCGACAAGTTACAAAAAAAACCCAATGACCACTTTTTGCTTGATAATCATTTCCTTAGTTCCTTGAGTTCTCATACTACGTAAATTATGAGAGCTGCTCTGAACGTAATGCCTCCTGTTTTATTATTGGCCCATGACAACAGAGGCAGATGTTGGTGGTATGGTAATAGAAGCTGAACCTTCCCACCAGTATCTTGTTCCATTCTGTTGCTGTGTGACAGATGGCAGCAGAGGGGCAGTCTGACAGAATGATGTCTGATGTGGAAGTACGTATGAAACAAAGGTAGTGTCTGTGAATTCCTCCATGTGTAAAAAACATGACACACACTGACATTTATCGACCCTCAGTCAACATTTATGGAAACTGAACAGTGGATGTGAGCAGAGTGAGGTGGTGGGTGGTGCATTTCAGCAGTGGGAACAGCAACAGTGGTCATCTCCACTGGTGCAGATTGTTACGAGCACGGCATTTAGGCTCTTGTTCATTGCTGGAGAGAATGCATAGCTTCTGGTGGTAACTGTGATGAAAAACTGTTTTGTAAATGAGAATTTGCTCTATCAAAGTGTTCTTGAGCTCTTTGTTGTAGTTTCCAAAGAAGTAAGTAAGAGGCATTACTTTCAGAGCAACATTTGTACCTAATAAATAATGAGAGCATATTGTGGCTTCTCTCTCTCTCTCTGCCACCCAATCTTGCCAGTATTTTAGCATATAATGCATTTTGTCTTCTTTCATGTGTCATATTCTTTCTTGAAGTTTGTTGCTAGAAACATGTAAAGAGAATATATAGATTAATAATCGTGCAAATACGTACATATACGTACCTTCCAACTTTGTTTTTGTAGCACTGATCATTCATATGACCATCAGTATATAATTTAACTCTTTGGATCTTGAAGTACTCAGAGTGGATAATTAATAAGAACTTGGGATGTAGGAATTTCTGTTGTTTGTATGCATTAATTAGTGATGTTTGGTGCCATAATTTTGTAGCCAGGACATTTGTGTGCCCACCAGACTCCTTTATAGTTGTTTCTGCAGGTGTCTTCTGTCATATTTACCAGCCCTCTGCTGATGCTTTGGATTACCAGAGGGCATCTTGGTAGGGGTAACCATCAGGGACAGGGAAGTGATTATCCCTCTCTACTCTGCCCTTGTGAGGCCCAATTTGGAGTACTGTGTCCAGGTCCTTGAGGTCCCTTCCAGTCCAGGCCATTCTATGATTTTATGATGCTCTGATCTCAGCTGGCAGCAGATAATTCTTTGTGAGAAACTGAACTGAAGTCTTGATTTTGGGAGAGGAGAGTGAGAGAGTACCTAGGTGATTTCCACAATTGATACTGCTAAAGACAAGAGCAGCATAAATAGATGTTACTTGAAAATATCAAGATTTTCAGTAGTCTTCGGTAATCAATGCAGTTGTTGTTGCTTAATGGCATTCTGCAACACCTGGTTACACGGTTGAACTAGGAATGAGAACAGATTTGAAACACAGCATTTTGGGTGGGCTTTTTCCTTGCTTAATCTGCGTATAATGTCGTGCTAGATAATAAGAAATAATCTGGTGGCTGAATTTGCGCAAATAAGATTTCTGAGTCTGCTGAAACCTGGAAATTCCTGAAGAATGCTGATTGTTCTTGGAGCCAGGGTTATATTATGATTTAATGGCTTTTCTGGGCTTCATTTGATGACCTGGCCTAGAAAAACATTTTGAAGTAATAAAGCGTCTGTTTGGCTCCAAACTAATGAGAGAAGCATTGCTCTTTGCATTAACTGTTCTTTAGGAAGAGTCACAGATAGCTACTAATAAACCTTATTAAAAAGCTTAAGCAAGATTGAACGAAATAGAAAACGGAGAAACTATTCCCTTCCATTTGAAGTATATACGTTTAAAAAAAAAAAAGGAGGAAAAGAAAGCAAACCCAAAGGGTTTTGCCTCTATTCCATGTGACTTGCAGCTTGCTGCACTTCAGTTGCATTGCCTCTGAGATACGTTAAGTGCAGCTCAGTTTAATGAAGAAGTGGATAGAACAAATCAAGGCTAGAGACTATTTGCAGCAGACACTGGGTAAGTAAATGCAGATGTAGGTGAGTGCTTGATAATGTTGTGCAAATGTTATTATCCATAGCCTGTAGCATTTCAAGCAGCGCTGAGGGATGGCATTTTTTGGTGGTCCTTTCTTTGTTTTATTTAAGTAATCTGCAAGTGTGGGTTGTAGGTGCTATGCAGTGGGTTTAGGTATGATAGAGATTACACTTAATTTTTTCAGACATCCTACAAAAAAAAAAAAAAAAAAAAAA